ATTCCCACAATACGATATACATTTACAAGAATTTAACGATCTTCCTGTCTCGCTAATGTAAGTAGCTTTGACAATCATTGCATTCAATTCTCTATACAGCTCCAGCACGATAATTAGGATAGTACATCTTCTAAGATTGGTTGGAGTTTAAAGGCCCAGTTTGCACCATTATGCTTTGCGCGCCTCTGTTATTGTTATGATTTACACCAAAATACTTCTAGTATCCAAATATCACCATAAGACGWATGTCAGATGGTTGAAAACTCTAATATTAGCKYTTWAAGTGMWTWGAAAAGTGAGRTGGTCAAAGATTCGAAACGCACAGTACAATTTATAGACTTTTGGTAAACTGAAAATGGCCGCCTTCGGGCCCCAAAGCATAATGGTGCCCACTGGGCCTTTAAACAGTTAACTGACATTACGGGTTGGTTACCTGAGTTTGAAATTGAAGGTGGTGGAGAAAGGGCATTTTGCTCCACTAGCTCTTTGACTTTTTACGAAGTTGTTTTGCCTACCGAAGCATAATCATTGAATAKGTTKRTTTGAGCTCTTGAGTCTTGTACATTTGGCAAAGGGAACTTTTCTTTAGGAAGACATCGGTTTAAGGTTTTCCATATGGAGTTTGTGCTTCCATTACTTTTAATTAACTCTTTGCGTACCTTTTTATTTCCTTCATTCAAAAACATGTAATAGGTGATCATAAAAAAATCATAAAAATAAGATCAGAACAATATTGGGAAAAAATGCAATTTGACATTTGAATTGAATTACAAAAAATATTATTAACTAACAAGATAAGTTGTTAGTGCAAATTTTGAGTAGCTAATGCCTTCATGTATTGAAAGAACAAGTGAATTGGTATATAGCTATTTCAAAAAAGGTTGTCGGATAAAATGGCGAAACGGCGATTGCTCGACCGAAAGTAGCCATGGGTAAGTTTTTTTTTTTTTGACTTTTCATGCAAGGAAAAACAAACAAATACAAACCAACCTCTAGTTTCCAGACTCATACATGTTTAAACGAGTGTTAAAATCCCTGCTCTTTGCCTGCCCCCCCCCCCCCCCCCCCCCACAATCTTGCTGTTAAAAGCACGTTAAAAACGTCGTCACGTCCCCGTTCAGTGAC